GCCTTAAATTTCCCCCCTCCCNTTNAGGGCCTTTAATTAAAACTTGCCAACGATGCTTCCCGCGCTAACCGGGAAACTCCCTATGGCATAACATTNCCGTTTTACCGATCGTTTTGGGCTCCATTAACCCAACCGGCCGGGTTGAATGGCGTTAACGGCCCCCGGTTGGGGTTAACGGTCGGTTGGGGTTAACGGCCAGTTGGGTTAACGATCAGTTGGGTTAACGGTCGGTTGGGTTAATGAGCCCCAAACGGTCGGTAACCGGCATGTTTATGCCATAGGGAGTATCCCGGTAGCGCGGGAAGCATCGTTCGCCAATATTAATTAAAGGCCTCTAACGCTGCAGGAAAATTTTAGTAGAAGATTTAGAACTATGTATTTATTTAGTTTTAGCGTTTGTTCCCGCTTTGAGGGCGTGAAATGCCGTGTCATTGTCCCTAATAAGTCATTGTCCCGGCATTTCAATTGTCGCCCATAAGCATGAACCAGGCCACCAACTCACAAGCTTACATGCAACAACTAAAACCAGGCAATACTAGCTACGCAAGCTATGCTAGGACAAACTTTTGAGACAAGGCATCCTCCAATTGGCACGCGGTAAATTGACTTAGATTGTTTGCCCTGGCAAACTTATGTACTCCAAACTCATCCACTGGACGATGCTGGCTGTATTTCTTGCGTGGGCGATCTTGTCGCCGACGGGCGATGTTGTCCAGGGCGTTCCGGTCAAACTCGTAGGCGCCGACCTCATTACCGTTGTCCATGGACATTGTGTTGGAAGGACACGTTAAGGTTCAGATAAAATGAAGAAATGAAGAAGCGCTCCTTCATAGTATGGAGATGGTAGAATCTTCAAGCAACTTTTGAACGACCAGGGAGAGTTGCTGATAGGCGAATTTGTATGAAGCTATAAAATTCCTTTATTCCTTTAAGGTAAGTGAATGCTTATGTATTCGTCTGTTAGTAGCGTGAAGCTTTGAACACTCTTTGTACGGCAGATTCGGCACAATGTTTTGCCTCATTGCGATGTTGCCTGAAAATTTTGAACAGAAGGGATCACTGCTCATGCTGGTGCAGCAAGACATGTAAGGAGATGGCCTGGTCACAATCCAGCAGTCATATATCGACAATCTCAAGCTATGACAACTTGTTACATGTGTCTGTAATAAAAAAGGGACTTTGCGATGGTGTGGGGAGCTCTTTGAGTGGTGGGACTGTGGAAATCCAGTTTGTTTCGCCCGTAACAAGTTTGTTACGGGCGAAACAACGTCCCTCTGAAACGTTTGGATATGCCTATGCAACACATTTCCTCAATTTCATGAACTGCAAGTATTCTAATCCAACATCACCCCAATCTCAGTGTAAACTAGTCTCCAAATGTGCCTGCACAAGACTGTCACCCCTGTCACCCGGCATTCACATTGCCTTAACCTCCTCAAGCTTGTCGGGTTGTGACACGTGGGCATGAACCTTGTGACAATGGGCATTGTCACAAAGAAACTGGTTGCAATCAGAAATGCATTTTTGCTCATGCCAGGTTACCGACATCGGTTACCGATTACTGGGGACGGTTAACCGATAACGGTTCGCCCGGTAATCCTACCGACCGGTTACCCATCTCGTTAACTGGACCCGTTAGGTCGGAACCGGGCCGGAACCGGCCTGGAGTATGCCATTGGGGGTATGGTGGAGGACAAGTGCTTGGCCACTTGCTTCGTTTTGGAAGGCTCAGTTCCAGTTGAGGCGTTACTGCATGACATGTCAGTGAAAACGGAAGGAATGGCAAGTGTTGAAATAACATCGTGACAGATTGCAGAGTATCACAAGATAGCCAGCGCATACTGACAGATAGCCTTAGACGGAGATTACATGTGTGACCCCCCCCCCAGGGTATCCGTTACCTTTCTTTATCAAAAGCTTAGTCTGTTGCCCCCTGTTCTGCATACCCTTATTCCTTACCTGTCCCAGCGCTCGTTGTTGTCCTTGGGGACAAGAACACTAACGAGTTTGATCGATTCCAAGGCGTCGATGCCAAGTGTGGTCACCAGCGCCTTTTGCACGTGCTTGACGCCGCAGTACTCGGTCGCCTTCACTAATTCCGCAATGAACGCGTCCATCTTCAGAGCCTTCTGCCGTAGATAGATGCTAAGTTTGTGGGCGACTGGACCACTGATGCCATTGGCGCGGGCCACCGCCGTAACGCCCGGGCTGCCGTCAAGAAGCATAGGGAGAGATGGAGGAGAGACGTAGTCTTCTAAAACATCCATCAGCACGGAGTGTGCACACGTGAAAAGGTCGGCGGCTTCAAGTAATTCCAAAATGGATAGCTAAGGTACGTACACGTAACCACTCTTTATAATACCCTATCAAAGTAATGTAAGGGGTTTGTTTTCGTTACCGAGTAGGTGGATGGATTGGCTTTGATCTGTACGACTCTGTGTGGTGTATGGCATTCGGGGTGTTTCCACTTGGCCGCACACTAATTTTAAAGTTAGTGTTAAAATTTTAAACATTATCTTTAATGTGGACTTAGGGTGCGGCTAGTGGACAGGTGTTCTCACTAAGCGCCCCGGATCCATACGATCGCGACAGGTTGCTTTAAAGGCACCAAACAATTGTTATAGTAAGAGTGGGTGTAATTTATAAAACACAAATCATTATTGTTTTGTCGGCTAATCGCTGGAGTGTGGGCAATTCGACCGGTCCTGCTGTGAATTCCACTGGCTAGCAGGCTACTTAAATTTGCGGCTGTGGATGAAGGAAAATACAAAAGTCAGCGTAGGGCCTTGAGGAAGGAAAATGGCGGACTATGAATTTTCTCGCTCGGAAGTTAATATCCACTTTGAAAGTTATCAGCAGGTCTGAGTCCCTGATAACTTGTGTGCCACTAATGCGGACTTAGTGTGGGAGGCGTACGCGTACGCACTGGGCCGTTCGGCTTTTCGCGTACGGAGTCCCTTTACGCGATTTCTTGAACGATTTTTACTTTTTACTATTGAATTTAACTAGTTTCTTATCGCTTGCATGATTTGCTGAGCCAGGCGTGAGATTTTTGAAACGTAATGCTAGTGTGCGGCCAAGTGGAATCACCCTGTGTCAGACAATTTAAGGCAACCCTATGCCATATTTTTAAGCTAAGTAATATTTTCTTCCTTGTCTCTCAGCCAGCTTCTGATGTCGGGCACTGCAGATCGGGAAAGTTGGAAACGAATGCTTCCTCCACTCGCCAACTGGAGCAAGTTCCTTTCAAGTAATTTGCAACATAACACAAGGCGAAGTACTGTAAACGTATGCTGCACCTCATACTTTGACCGTAATAACGGAAAAGTGTACGGCATCCATATGTTAGACGGCAAGAACCAAGCAGGCGTGTTCCATCCTAATTACTTAGCATTATATGTCACCGCTGACGTGAATGAAAATGTCGCCGCGACGGTTCCCTGTCTTCATACTTTCTGTGTTTGCTCTTCTGGTCGTCGCTTGCTACTCGGTATCTACAGATACGCTACCTGAATCCTCACCTAAAACTATAAGCAGTGGTTTGGAAAATTCCTCAGAAACGTCTGCGTCACCTATTCCATCAATTTCCTCAAACCATGGAAACCCTGTTAACGAATCGATTTCTAACATGGAAATATCTTCAGATGGTGAAAATATAGCTGGGTCGGCACCAGCACCCGTCGCGACAGTTGCCGCCGCAGTAGCGACAGCTGCTGCAGCCGCAGCAGCTGCTGTCGCTGTAACCGATGCTGCAGGACCAAGTCGTAATAGACGACACCGCCATCCACATCCTCAACTCAGCGATGACCCATTTGTCTCAGATTCTGACTTCAACATCGGCGCTGACGCTGTGACTGGCAGTGGCGCCGTTCGGCACAACCTTTCAGGAGAAGAACAGATAATGAGCGACGATGTGGGCATCAGTCCTAATGCAAACGAGGACGCCGACGTTATGTATGGTGCTCAGCCAGTGCAATTCAATGACGATGGCGGAGATGAAACATCTTCGGGAACCCTTGAATCCGGTACACATGACGGGTACAACCAACACGGCTGCCTTGTAACGCCGTTGGAGCACGTGTGTGCCGTACGTATCTCAAATTGTAACTTGACATGGCGTTCATGTTCTCAGGGGCCGATTCAAGTGGTCGTTGTCCTGGAGCTGATGGGGCACGTATGTACACACGCTTCATGCGAGTCAGTGTGCCTCCCATGCCTGACAATTCTGTCGCTAAGAAGCTAGTGATACAGGCAGCAATCGACGCCCTGGACCATAAGAACTGCAGTCCAGTGGTCACTGAAACTGTGGTCGGAAACATGCTGCTCATCAAGCGTCGTGATTATAAGGGCTTGGGTGCAAGCCCGGCTCAAAGGCTTGCAGCAGATTGCCTGCCGAAGACATACAAAGAGTCACTCACAATCCTGAGTGTCAATGGCTGCAAGTGGCCTCCATTGGCACGCTACTGCATGTGTCCGTGCGGGTTCATATATTGCAGAGAGCATCAGGATTGCCGCCAGTGTCCAGCTATGGCCTTAAAAAATGGTGGCGGTCGCGAGCCATGCCTACGCCGCCGTGAAGAGTCCCGTACACTACTGTACAGCCCAATCTCGCATTACATGGAACGTGTTTACGGCAACCCTGACATAGCAGCTGAGTTTGGAGCCTGGCAGTCCCGGCGTCGTCAAGAGTCAGACAATCCATCCGAACAAGATTGGCTCTGTGACATCATTGATGGTCGACTGATTGATGACCTTCTCTCTGATCCCGAGAACCAGTCATGGAAACAAGATCCCCGCAACCTCATCGTCATGCTTGTCACCGACCCCTTCATAGTGAGTCCCTGTACAAGCAAAGCATGTGATATGTCAAGGGGTTTAGGTTTCTAGCTGTCTGACACGCATTTTTGTATTCGTCATTCTTTTGTGTACGACGTCGGTCACATGAACACCTACCACGCTTATCTTGCACCCCCCTCGACGAATTGTAGGTACCTAGTGATGAGCGACAACATTCAACAACGCCATGGCTTCTCCTCACCGTCAACGCCTCACCCCAAAAAAGGCACACAATCGGATATGCGTCCGTGCTGTGCCTTATGGGAGGAAACATAAAAGGTCCCGGCGAGGAGCATCCACTTTCTATGGACCACAGTCACGTGCTAGCATTGATAACTGATGAGCTAGCCGTCCTAGGCACCAGGGGTCACACGGTGCATGATGCTCACACTGTTTCTGGAATAAGATAGTCAAGTCCCGTGGGTCGGTCTATCATGACGTGTTAGTAGATGATCTCCGTCTGGCTCTTCTGTCTGATCTCAAAGTGGATTGCTGGTCGTCTAAAGTGCTCATCATTTTGCGTTGGTTGGGCCATGAGTGGCCGGCGTGTGACTCCGTTTCTCAGAAGGTAGATGTATACTCGTCTCAGTTGATTCGAGTGGGTGAGGTTCTGGAGAGGTTATCTGCGTTCCTTTTAAGTGACTGGGATCAGTTCAGCCAAGGGGGTGATCCGCGTGTGTTCCAAGGTAAAGGGGTTTCGCTTTGCAGGTATCATAACTGGATGGGCTCCCCTTCACCAGCAAGAGAGGGCTCCGATCCCACAGGCTATGTGCGTGTTTATTTGCCGGTCAACCAGTTGCGTATGGTTGCCAAATTCCGTCTTTGTTGTTGGCCTTTGGAGGTCAACAAAGGACACCATAGGCCGAGAGAGTGCCGTACGTGTCAGGTCTGTACGTCGGGTAAGGTTGAGGATGAATATCATGTGCTCATGGAGTGTGAGGCGTATACTGAGTTGCGTAATAGGTTTCTGATTAACGTTGAAGATACTGATATGCGCAAGGTATTTCTTAATACCAATCCGAGGAAAATCGCTACTTTCCTTACTGAGGTTTTTGATGAGCGTCAACAGCGTGCTCTGGAGCCTCACGGCTCGTGAGGGCACCCGCCGCGTCGGCGGCGGAAATACTGTAACCACAA